TATATGCACCAACGAATGAAACGCAGCGTGTTTGTGTTGAATTGGACGAAACGAGTCACTTGTAATGACTCTCTTTGTCGATGTCGGCTTATGAAACACACCAACATCAATATTTTCACACTCGGAAACAAATTCACGTATAGATTTACAGGCATTAACATACTAATGTTATTAATTATTAACATATTATTAACGGGGCGTTAATAACTCAAACATAACATGTTATTAGATTAATAAGATTCTACGATATTCTTAACATATTATCTTATAATTAATAAGATCGCCATTTTATTAAAAAGTTAATAAGATCCGTCTTATTATTAATAAGATAATCTTATTAAAATATTAATAAGAAAATCGGATTTTATTAACCAATTTTCAAAAAAAATTGCGAAGAAAGGTTTCATACTAAAAACATATCAAATATCGTCAAACGACGAAATATTGAAGCAAAATGCATCTGACGATATTTGTTATGTTTTTAGTATGAAACTTTTCTTCGCAATTTTTTTTGAAAATTGGTTAATAAAATCTGATTTTCTTATTAATATTTTAATAAGATTATCTTATTAATAATAAGATGGATCTTATTAACTTTTTAATAAAATGGCGATCTTATTAATAATAAAATAATATGGTAATAATATCGTAGAATATTATTAATCTAATAATATGTTATGTTTGAGTTATTAAAAATTCTCCGATATTTTGGTTATTAACATATTAATAACATATCGAAAATGTAAATCTATAAATTCACGACGTCAAATGAGACATTCACTTCATCGCTTTCACAAGCAACATTCTTCAGTTTTTCGACAAATTCAGAAGAGTTTTTAACCGACATACTTTCGAAGGGGCGCAAACTCTTCATTTCGCCTACCAACCAACGAGCTATTTTGCTACACGGAATGCTTGTACACTAGACTGTTCCGTTTCCGACAAAAATTGAAATTTCCAGCGGGCAAATAGCTTATTCGTTGCACAATAGCCCAAACAAGGTCGAAGAATGCAAAAACCCTTGATTGGGACCTAGCGCATCATGTATATCGCCCCAAGCAATCGATTTCAGTCATTTTTGATGAAATATACACTTTTTATTCGCTGCTATCGCATTTTATACCATATTTTTTGCTTTGTGGCTGTAGTATTAATACAAATAAACAATACTCAATCGATATCACATCGATTTTTGATCATATTTGACTATTTCTAGTGAAAAATGGGTGATTTCAGGCAAAATTTCGTCAATTTTGTATGGGAGGTACCCGTAAATCACTTCCGATTGACTTCAAAGTTTCTGGGATTTCAGTTTTTGGTGAGAAAATGAGATTCTGAAATTTTCATGTTGATCGGATTTGCACAAATTTGGTTTTTGTTCCTCAATTGATTTCGAAAGTTTCTTGTACTTTCTATTTGGTTATACCGCTTCAATGGAAATTCCCACAAAACTAATGAACATATTTAGACCGTACCAGGCTTTGTTATGCGCTAAATCCATCGAGCTGAATAAATTCATGCGATAGATTTATGCGTAAATGTGATGCGCTCGCTTTGCGGTGAACGAGGTCTGTTGCTCTTAGCGATGCGTTCACTGCAAAGCATGAACGTTCATGCGTGAACAAGTGAAGAGCAACAGACTTCGTTCACCGCAAAGCGAGCGCATCACATTTATCGCATAAATCTATCGCCGACGGGTGGCATCAAATTGTATTTTGTATACATTTGCATTGAAGAAAACTAAATGTCAGATGAACATCGCGTTTTCAGTGCCCTCTACTTTTTTTTCTGCAATGATGCAATCGTTTGACTTTTGGCTGCACTAAGAGCTCCAAAACATTCACAATTCGTTTGAAAGATTGACGTGCTCGACTCAGTTGAACTGTTTTTGAAATAGTGTAGATTCGTGAATAAAAAAATAATATCATCTTAATTAATCTCCGTTAATCATTTTAATTAAGTGATTAATTGATCGATTAATTGTCAACAAACGACAAAATATTGAAGAAAAATAATTAATTGGTCAAGTTAATAAAAATTCGGTGTGATTAACTGGATTTTATGTTAATCCAAGATTTGTTTGACAAAATGATTGAGTGGGCTCGTTTAATCCGAAAATTTCGGTGATTTCATTTTGCTCCAATGATTATCTGATTAACTGTCACGTTAATCACAACGATTTTTCGAAAAATGATTAGGTTATCTTGATCCGCCCACGTGTATATGATTCTAACTGCATGCCTTCAAAAGAGTTATCATGTTTACTCTTGACTGCCAGTAGTCATAAAAGTCAAGCGAGTTAAGTTTTTTAAAAAATGGATATAATCATTTTTTTCCCGATATTTTGCTCAAAAGCAAACTAATTTGGAATAATTTTTTGTACAATTTGTGAATGAAAGAACCATCTCCATTTAAGAAGTTATTCTACACAATTTTTTTACACACCGTCTCCACTCGCAGCTAGTTTCAATTACAATGGAGCTCTTTTTCAAAATATTTGACCGTTTTTGGCTGTATTATTTTCAAGGGAAGATGGGGAAGATTCTTTGATGAAATTTTAGTTTCAATTTCGATAAAGACACCTCTTGCTATCACCAAAAATGGACGAGTACGGAACACATCTATAATTTTTTGTCCAAAATTGGTTGAATGATTCGAGAGCTGATTCGTGAAAATGAGTTTATTTTTATGGAGATAATAAATTCACATTGATCCCCTGGTAAATTTTCATAGAGAAACGAGTCCGTGAAAACGAATTTGTGAGTTTGGTCCGTCGGTCCGTGATTTCGATCCGTCGGTCCGTGATTCCGATCCATTGGTCCGTGAGTCCGGTCCGTCGGTCCGTGAGTCCGGTCCGTCGGTCCGTGAGTCCAGTCCGTCGGTCCGTGAGTCCGGTCCGTCGGTCCGTGAGTCCGGTCCGTCGGTCCGTGGAAACTTAATGTCGGTCCGCGGACCGACGGACCACGGACCACGGAGCGGTCCGTTTGGGAACTTATGTCCGCTACCCCACAAGATCTGGTCGGAAGTCGCATTTTCCGGAACGATTCCATCTTTAGAGGGGAAGCCCTGTAGCGCACCAATGTAAAAAAACATTTCGCTGCCAAATTGTAAGGCTAAGCGACATTGAGAAACGTCACCGACCTCACACTCGAATTTGATTACAAATTCTTGTGTGCGTGTGTGTGTACGAGTGAGTCGTTTTTCGGTGTAACACAGTCAGAGCAGTCAACGCGCATTCATTCGATTAGCATTCACAAACCGAGACAGAGCACCGTCTCATTTCCCCGCGCGCACATAGAAAAAACTCGACTTGCTTTTTTCCATATGGTTCATTTTTTTCCAAATTCAGCATTTTAGATTACTCAGTCTATTTAAGGAAACATAAAATTATTTTTGTCATTCATTATTCAACTTTTTGCGAATTAAAGTTTCGAATCAATTGAGTGAAGCCGCCTGTCTTTTATTGACAACAAAACAGCAGCTTTACCATAGTATCACTTTGTTCTATTTCCACAGTTCCTCGTGGATGTGAATGGAGACGGTAAGAAATAAGCTCCATTTCTTTATCAAGTTTCACTCTCGGTTTCTCGGTTTTTGTCATATCTCCATTTCATTCTATTTTTTCTATGAAGTCGAAGAGAGCCTCTGAATAGCGTAATATTCATTTCCCTATCACTTCGACACTTCCACGCGCTCTTGCGTGGAAAAGTTCATCTCACGGACACAAGACATTTTCTTTCGATTCACTTCACTGATCCACTATATTTTTTTAACTTTCAGTAAACGAAAAAGACGAAAATGGGAATACAGCCCTGCATAGAGCTGCTGAGACTGCTAATTTTGAGCATTTATGTTTTAAAAAAAGGTTTCGTTCAATCAATTTCATTGATCAAAATTATTTTTCAGGTAATGCGAAGGAAGCACAAAGACTCATCGCTGAAGAAGCCAATGTTGATATCGGAAATGAGTTGTCGGACACCTCTTCACTTAGCTGCTATGAAAGGTAATGTTGAATATTCGTCTTCGTTAAATAAGAAATTGACTTGATTTTTTCATCGATCTGTGCCATTTTCAGGACACAAGAATGTCGCTGAGCTTCTCATCCGTAAAGTAGCCAATGTTAATATTAGAGATGATTCAAATCAAACACCTCTTCAACAAGCTGTTCACAGTCGTAATGTTGACTAAATAAGATACCGTTTGGATCTTTTTCATTGATCTGTATTATTATTTTTCAGGTCACAATGATGTCGCTAGACTTTATATCGGTAAAGGAAAGAAAGTTAATAATTGAACGCTGCTGACAATGGTAATGTTGGATATTTATTTTCATTAAATAAGAAATTGGTTTAATCTTTTTGATCGATGTCTATTTTTCAGGTGGCGAATAGCTGAAATAATTTAGCTGAATAATCGGATGATTTTTTTCTATGCCCATACTCGATTATCGATTAATATTCTGTCAAAAAAATACCTCCAGTTGTCCATTTACCCACTGTTACCACCAATGTAGAATACTACAGCCCATTATCACGCTTCCATCATCATAGTACCCTTGAACCCAAAACATTTATTATTTTTTGGGCCCTGAAGAAGAGTCGCAGATGACTTGAAATCTCTGCATTTATTTCAAATAAATTATCGATTAGAACAAAGACCGAATTGGCTTTCATTTCAAAATCAATTCTTTTCTTAATATTCTTGATTTAATGAGATAAAATAAAATTTTAGCGATAACATGGAAAACGCACACCACGGAGAACCTTTAAGCTTTTGACCAGCTGGCAGAACAAACGCCATCTAACGATGGCAATATAACTAGTTTGACCGTATTTAGATAGTAAAGCTTAAGTGAAAATTCAATGCTAGGTAAAAACTTCTTGAAAAGTGCTTGATAAACTTAATAAAATAAATACATTTCTCGATCTTTGCAAGTGCCCTATGACACACACGGAACACATTTTTTCTTAATCTTAGCGATATTTTTCTCGAATCTGTGCCATAGATTTTTTACCACTACGAAGAATTTATTTCATGGAAACAAAAAGTTGGCTGTGTTGGTACGAAATGCGACAGTGACAGAATTTTTTTCTTTTTTATGTGATACGTTTCGGATTGTAAGTATTTCTTTACGTGTGTGTTCATTGGAATTTCAAACTAATTGAG